ACTGCGCGAAGTCATGATCCAAAGTAGTTTCAAACTCGGCAATTTCACGGCGGTTAAGCTAACAAAACGTCATTTCACGACGTGACCTCAATTGTTGGTAATATGTTTACATGTTGACGTAATGTTTTTCTTCCTTTCCACCGACTGCGAAAACCTGAATTGGGCCTTCGGGCGGCGTTATTGCCAATGTCATGTGTGGACCCTAAACTTTTTCGTGCGAGAGCTACGGGACTTTACATAGCTCCCACTAACATTTACAATGTTTTTGAAAGTAGACAAAAAAGAAATATTAAATATCCTTCTGGTGGGAGTTCATCCTATGGCCTGATGCGGCTAATACTCCTCTCAACCTTAAACCACAGCTTAAACTTAAACGGTGTGTTGTGAACGAAAGTAATTTGTTCAGGTGAAAAGAAACTCTTAAAACTGCCGGCCGGAAACTCAGTCGGAAAATTTTCCAGATTTTTCTTTGTTTATTTGATAATAAGATGACGTCACATATGAAATTGAAGTAAACATTTTCCTGAAGTCCAGATATACAGAACTCCTGACTACTTCATGTTTTTCTATACAAATTAGTCAGTGCACGCATGACATCATCAGCTAATAAGGTTTGAATGATTTCATAAAGTTTGAATAGTTAACTTTGATTTTTATGACACGGGTAAAGTTTATTCATACAGTCGCCCATACATACTATTATTACTATATGAACAGGTTTTGTGATTATGATTGGCTGGAAATGACAATAAAAAAGACAAAAAACTATGTTATAGAAATCATCTTCCTGATGAACGAGTCATAAACACTGCAGTGTCGCGCATCTACTCATAGAATCTACTGACTGACTTTGTTCTATAAATATAAAGCTCTATGTTATACTATGTCTCTCTCGATCAGTATCACCTACATTGAATTGAATTGTCAAATAATAATCTGAAATCAATAATCGATGTGATTTATTATTAAGACCGTTACATTTTTAAGTGCCTCCACAATGCAGAAAATAACGTTTTAGAAAATTTAATTTTTTTTCCAAGGGAGCATGCCCCCGGATCATTCATAGAATTGTGACTTAGTGACAAATTATTAAGTTGTTCCCACTTATATATGCCACCAATTACATCAAATCTATAATTCAATCCCAAGATTGGCTTGAAAAATGCATTACCAAATATTTCATAATTGTAATAACGCGCATGAGAAAATAAGTAAACTGCTGTGACGCATGTAAATGTGATATCAAAAATAGCAGAAAGGGAAACAGAGCGTGACCCCAATTGTGGACCACTACATATAATATTGCATTGCCTAATTTTTAGATTTTGGGGCAAATATCGTGTCGAATAAGCAATGCATCCTTATAAGAAAGTTACTAATCGGTTTGCTCCTGTGCCGTGGATAAAGAACAGCGCGGCCGATTCTCCTCATTACACTGACCCATGGTTCCGGCGTTTTTCGAACTCCAACTTCGGCAGAAGCCGGTTACACTTCCGCATGCATTGTAAACCGATTCAGTTCTGAATAATGAATTAGATATTAAAAATACACCTCTATTATGCTTTGCGCACATTTAAATCAGTTCGACGATAGAACATTCCACAAAGCCAAAGGTATATGTATTCTCAACCGATTCTCTTTTTTGGGGGGTTTATTTACAGCCACTTGTCATTTTTTTTAGTTGAAAGGATGTTATATTTAATAATCTAGTTGCAAACTTAAACCATTTCCTTTGTTTTCTATAACTTTTGCAGCAATGTCCAATGAAGAGTTGATGTTATTGTATGCATGTATGGCAGCAATGAATTAAAGAGTTGTGTTATGATTATGAAATTCTCAATTCAAGAGACAAAATAAATTCGGGAATATTTCTAGTACGGATATGGATCGGAAAATACAAACACCCTGGCTCAGGACAAAATATGACTTGAAAGTCATTAACTTTAAATTTTCACTAAGTTTTTAATACGAGATTTGTATGTATTTCCCCAGATTAGGTTGCCTGGCTGGATTACACTTCTCTCTTTATTAATCAAACTCAAAATTAAATCGTTACACTTCCCTCTTAAATTCTATTTCTGCCATTACTTCACTTCACTTCAGGGCCTATTTTAATGTGCAGTATCAGAATTGCACACTTAGTTGCATGTGTACAGAATTGATTGGAAAGCTAGTTTGCAGTATATACCGATAATTTGAACTCAGACAAGTGTACAGTTATGTATTGAAACCGGTTTGAAATTTTGTGTTTTAACTCTAGTGCTATAACAATGGATCCGACAATGCCAACGGCACAAATAAAGCAAAACAGGGCAGGGGTGAGGTTACGTTGAGTGATAAAAAAACAGAAAAGGACGCAAAGAGAATTTTCAACAATTCCGCTTAACCAAATAAACAGATATGTTGCGTTTTCAATATGTCGGTAATTCTAAAAAAATATATAAAAGTTCTTAATATGATTATGACTTGCTAAATTTTTATAAAATCTCCTCAAAATATTAATAGAGGAAATTACATTTAATTAATTAGAGACTTCAGATTTTAAAATGGAAGGATTTTAAATGTTTTAAAAAGCCGGAAAACCTGCATGCATTTGTGTATAGAATGTGTCGGGTTACTGTTTTTTTCCACAACCGGTGAAAATGAGCACTTTTGACATCAAATGACATACTCATCAGTATTCTCTAAAATGTGCACCTTTTTTGATTCCCCTTTCGTGATAAAACTATTATTAGAAGCAATTAAAAAGTATTCTCATTCGAAGGAGTGCCAGTTGGCTGACTCATATACAAACGGGGAAATTATCGCTTGTACTTTATGATCGAGACTTTAACTTGGAATTAACCTGGAATATACTGAGATACTTCCCGAATTTGCTAAGTCACACGAACAGAATACAAACAATAGACAATAGTACGAGGTCAAGCCGAGTATTGGCTTAATATAAATTTGAGGCAAATTGGATTGAATTATATCAGTGTCGAGTTCAAGCCATTGTTTCTGGACATTCATGCAAATTCGGGAAGTGTCTACAGTAAAATCTAATAGTTCTCAGGAAGCATGCAGTAAGCCCAATTAATATAATCGTTACAATGACAATGTTGGGGATCTATATCTGTTTAATTTCCTTAAGAAAAAGTACTATCTGTTAAGCACCGCGCGAAAAGCCAGTTCGTTCGAGAAGCTGTATCAATGATTACAAACTAGACGTCCTGTAGAGCAATGATTTTACTGAAACACTTTAAAGAATAAAGTACTTTAAAATTATTTTAACGAGAGTGAATTTATTATGGCTGTCTGAGATACGGGAGAGTGAGAAAACAAGATGACAAACACGTTTAGAAAGTTTTTTTTAAAGTCAAGCAAGGTCGCCTTTTTATACCGGAACATATCACAGACTGACAAATAAATTGAGCTAAAGACGTAATCTACTATAACCAGGATTTACTTCTTACCAAGGGGCAAGGGTAAAGAGAAACTCACGAGATACAGAAATTAGTTTCCTGTCGACGCAGACACGCACTGTATGTAAATTGAATCTAATCTGACCCGCATGTACCGTATATTGCGCATAAAGCCATTCTCAGCCCCTATAGCTTGGACTTTTGTCATCGGCTGACTCGGAACTATATTCAAATTCTATAAGATCTAAACATCTCTACATTAAAATAAAACCTGACAACATTTTCTCGCTGTGAAAAAGATTTAATGGTACCAATGCATGTGCATGATATCAAATTTGACTTATAAGGAAATATTTTAGTTATACGAGCTGCATTTACAAAAATTGCGCACAATTAAGGCAGAGACTAACAAAGCCATATGATAAGATCATAAAGCACGGTTTTTCAAGCTTTCAAGACAATAAAGAAAAGCAGACAGTATAGTTAACACATGAATGTTTTATATTTAAAATTTTTTTATCAGTTTTTGACCTAATTCGCTTGTTGAGCACTGATATTCGCACCTTACGCAATGGCCCGCCTCTCATTAATTGACTTTAACCTAAACTTATGGCAAAAAACACACGGGGTACTAGTTTACAATAGCTATTCGGCTTTTCTATCAGTTTTAATCATGAAATAATCTACAAAAGATCAATTCTAACAATTTAAAATCGATATTCGGTTTGAGAAGGCGGTTCGCACCCGGGTAGGACAAATAGTCGGCTTTGCTCTTATCGTTTCCATTCATCGATTTGTAATGGCTGTGTGAAGGGAAACTCGTGTCGATTTTGTGGCTTCTATCGATCGCATTTATCTGCCAGTAAAATCTGGTTTTATCAGTTATACCAATAGAGATAGACTACTTCCTCTTTATGCGGCGCCATCAAGGCGCTAGTAAATGCAAGTGCTTAGCCTTTGTAAGTGCTAGCAATGGCTGACTGGCTCTTAATGTAACCAACTGCCATAATACTAAATTATTTATACTGCATGTATGGCTTTGGCTTTACCTATTACCTTGTTTACGACGGAGAAAGCAGCTTAGACCCGGTCTGGGATTTCACTAACCCGAGCCCTTCGCTTGGCAAATAAAAAACAGATTTTGACCGCAATCAATGCCCAGGGTTATCTTGCGACGCTATCAGCGTAGAGCGCGTTACGCATCTGATGCAAAATAGCAGCGCAAGTGAGCGACACATATGCACGCAACGATTGAAAGTATTTCAAGTCCGGAACATATTCCGGAAAGAGCTGTATGAAACGCAGTATTCGATTAGTTGCTGCATGTCAACACCTTTTAATACGCAAACATTGCTCTTGCATTGCTGTATAAATAGAGCAAGCGTTTGGCGAAAACGTCCTTAAGATATTTCTGTTACGAAAGCTCATCTGTTGGAAGGGTGTATGCTCAAGTCAGCCTCCAAAACGGTAGGTGTGTAATTTACGTTATCGTTTTATCACCGTAATCAACTCGCTTCAAAATAGCGCGGAAATGCTCGTGTAAGGTAGTTTACTTTGTCAAACATTGCATGTAGTATAATACGCTTACATCAGGCTGGGAAACTTTTACCATTTTGTGAAAGTATTTTGCGCGTAGTTAATAATGATATTCGCGCGACAATGACAAGTAAATATAAATTGATATAGGTATGCGGTATGCAACTGGACGTAACCTTTTGAAGTACCTTTGCTGAAGGGCATAGAATTTTTTTGCTTTCTGGTGTTACCAAGTTTCTTGTAGGTAGTTTTGGACACGTATTTCGTACAAATTTAACCTAAGGAAAATTGAACATATTTGGTTTACATAGGGGTAATTATTTGAAACGATTTTTCTACAGTGTATTTGAAAATTCGTTGTTGAAATTCAAATTCATTTTGTAACATGCGGTTTCGGCGATTTGTTCTCGCTTGTTTAAAACGTGTGTTTATATTTTCGTAATCAGACAGAGTTGGGAAGCGGTGGTTAGTTTTGTAGGTGAACCGCATTCTTCTCAAAACGAATTTTGCTTGCTTAAATTGCTAGTTCTAGGCTAGCCGATTGAAAACTTATAGTAATACAATGCTTATTTTTTTTTCTGTATTATTTACAATATTTTTGGCTCCAGTAAACACGCTAATTAAAATCGATACTGTCGTAGGTCAAGCATGGTAATTTTTCTGGATGTATCGATTGCCTGTTACCAATTTGTGTTTTTACCCTTGGGATGTACTGTGTGAAAACCAGGTCTGTGTATAGTGCGTGATGTCGAAATATCTCAATGTTTACAAGGCTATTGTATGGATTGAGGGTTTGGAAGTTTGGCTGCAAATTTCGCTGCATGTGGTTTTCGGTTAATGACTTCCGCGCGAGAAGGTAAACCGTTTCTAGGCTGAAAAAGAATTGAATCCATGCGTCTTTTAACCCAATCGCTTGATCACTCAATGACACAGTCCGTTTCCTGTTTTGTCCCCGCTTACAGCCGCATGGGGTCTGAAATCGAGCTAGTGTGGACTTCTCTGGGTTCATAAAACAAGGCAGAGGTTATGAAAGGCAACAGAACCTGTTGTGTTAGCTCCTTGCTGATTAATTACCCGCGTAGGATGGTGGAAAAGCAAACTTCGCAAGCACACACACGCAAAAGCGCGCCCTCCATTTCCTAATTGCCATCGCTTTGGAATTCCTCTGCGCGTTGAGATATTTTTCCTTTTCCTGTTGGATATGTCAATGTGAACTTAGATGGGCATCCCAGAGGCGGGATGTAAATAAAAAGCTCTAGTGCTTTAAAGACAGACACGTTCCAGAACTCGAATAGATCGAATATTGTAACGATTCTATCATACACGTTTTAGGTTGTACAAACTACATTGTATGCTCGAGTAAGACAATGAGAAATCTCGTTCTTTTCACATTATGCTTCTGGTGGAGTTACGCAAGACAGTCAGGTTGGTGGGATTTAGTTTTTCTAACTATTTGATTTCGTCTCTTTCTTGGCTTTAAAATGAAAAAGGAGTAATAAGCTTCGTTATGATATCGCGATTTGATACTCTTTATATTACCCTTAATATAATACCAGAAAGGGAACATTATCCCCGGTCAACTGACAGAGTTAAAACGTCTTGTGTTGTTATTTGAAGGACTCAGGAACGCGTATGCGGAGGTTGGTTCCTAGTCACGTTCATGCTAGAGAACCTCACGCCTAGGCATCTGTTGTGAACACCGATGAAAAGAAAAGTTTGATATCGGGGTGTAGATTTACAGTGAACGGTGTCTTATTAGTCAGTTAGTGCAGGATGCCGAGTTTAGAGGCTCGATATTATTTTTCACCAAGGAAGGTATAGTCATCACATAGGTATTGCATCACTCAAATCATAAGAGAAAACAGGGAATCGTATCCGCCTTTCAAACAAATCTCATACCTTTATTCCTGGCGAGCACAACGACATAATTGGTTTTGTACATTACAACTAACCAACATTTTGTACAATGTAAGCACACATTGCACATTGGAATCATTAAAATATTGGTGGAAATAGAATGTATTTTCACATCAAATATGAATAATACACGAAATGATCCATAACGGTAGATTACTATACTATAATTGCTCAAAACATTTTCTAACCTAATTAGCATATTTTCCGTACAGATTTCTACAAGTATTAATAAACAAAGATAAAACAAATACCGTGAATGAATGCAAATATACTGGCATACTGCAAAGATGTTAAGTTTCATGTAAAACAACAAGTAAATATTTTCGAGTGTAAGATTAAATTTGTTACAATAATTTTCGCATCATGTCTGATACACCATCTAGTTTACATTTATAACAATGAACGTAATGACGCCTTGCACTTTACATAAAATATTCGCTAAATTCAGACCGTACTATTAAGACATTCACGTCTCAAATTTCTAAGTACACGAATTTATTTATTACAAGCTGCCTAAAACCACTGAGGACGGGAGAGACAAGTTGCCAAATTGATAAGGATTTATGTTAAGCTAATAAGTAGCCACGCTTATAACACTCGTCTTTAAAGAACCTTGACGTAAATTAAAAATCCCATGATAAATATATTAACTACTATTGACGTGTTCGAGCGGTCATTATTTAAGCATTAGCCTTAAGCATTTATATGTCAAAGGCAGAGTTCATTCAGAATTTCGAAACATTGTTTTACGGCTTAGTTTTTGAGAATGACCGATAATTATAATGATTAATGGTATATGTCTGCATGTGTTTGTATTTTTGCTTCGGGGGCGCAAACAAAAGTTGTTTTATCCGTAAGTGCGAGAATACACTTGGATTACGTGACCTCTAGCAATGGGCGCTTTCCATTTAATGGTTGATCGGTCAGACCCAAATTCTTTTCTCTGTATCAATGCAATGATCTGGTCTATGTTTCTCAAATACCTAGCGAAAATGAACCTCATTCTAATTGTATCTAAATTTTTCGGTCAGATAAGCCGAAGCCCAAACGTTCTGTGTTTCATTCAACAATTTGACCGTTCTGACCGGTCTGGCCGTGTTAATGGAAAACGTCCTATGTAGCCTATGTACGGACTCGGATGTATGAAAAAAGATATGCAGAACGTGTACCTCAGTACCTGAAATATTATACTTTCCGATATGGAAATACACTGTAGACCTATTGGAAACTTGCTAGCTATAACGACATCTTAATTAAATAGGCGATGGTGGAATTGAATTACATGGACCGTAATGTTTTAACTTCATTGTATTATAACTGTATTTCTGAATTAAATTCTTCCGTACATTATAACTGAATTGAATAGCAAACAGGATTACTGGTTTAATATAGTCCATGATTCATAAGTCGCCAGCCTAATTCAATATATTTTTCTCACCCTTTTCAAATGCAATCGATAATTTGTAATTAATTAGCTCTCTGACGGGTAGAACCAGTCACAGAGTTAGGTGTTTACGAAAAATATGGTGAAGATTTTATTAATTTTTTAAGAGAAGCAAAAAATTTACTCAGAGTTCATATGGGTCTCACGTTGGATTGATCATGACACTGTAAACTGAAATGCATGTTAACAGAGAACTGGTACTATACCAGTCGAATAGTATTTGTACCACTCAACTCGAAATTGGAATATCTGAATGAGCTAATTCGCGAGTAAATACCAATTGATCATATAACATTTTAATCCTATTTAAATGAACATTAAATCCACTTAACGCAAAGGGGTACCTTGTATTGAAGAGTGTTCGAAAAAAATTTTAGGAATTTTTTAAAGATTTCCAATGGATATTTGCAGTAAATAATTTCAAATCGTGTCACATTATATATTGTCTTATTCCTTATTGAAACAAGGAGCTGATAAAATTGAATTCATATAGCTGCATATGCGATAGGTCATGTCATGAACAGGTATGTCAAGAATAGCTAGTGTGGATTTTGCATATACAAGCACGTGGCTGTAACCATATGCTGTAACTGACAAAGGAACATTCTAGTCAGCAGGCGTGCTAACGTGTTCTTCTATATCCTACGCAGGCTATAATATACCTGTAAAATGTGAGATATGCGGGTAATTGATGAATGTGCGCGAGGTATCAGGGGAAGACTGGTATACACAACCGTAATTGTGCTTTAATCATATTTCATTTCCAGAAAAGAATGTTCGATATCATATAGTTATTCTTTGTGCAAGTGTCAGGTGGCTCCGCGTGATTTCACCAATTACCCGAATGCCTTATATTCTCCAGGTATTCGGCCTGCGAAAACCGTAAATAATCTAAAACCATAAATAACCTAAAACCGTAAATAACCTAATACTATAAACACTTCTTTGCGTAGAAAAGAGGGGATGTTCTAAATCAGATTTACAAAAGTTTGGGCTTATAAATCATTGGATTAATCAAAGTTTGTCCGCTTTAATTCGAAAATCCTGGTAAAAACTCAACAAAGAATTATCGGTTATATGTTAGCAGAGAGGGTCTGAGGCTAAGCCTCTTAAAACACTTAGTGGGAACAGTTTTTTTTCAGTGATGACGGTATTCTCCAATATTCCCTACAATTCAAATTGTTGCTATTGTGGATTGCCTTCATCATTCCCAAAATACATCATTACATATATAAATACATCATTACAGCTTTGTAGTTACTGGTGCGAAATTAATTTACACCCAGAAATTTGTGTCATAATTCCCCTGACAAATATTTTTCTGTCTGCGTTTTTTACGTAAAAGGAAAATAATTAGGCGAAGGAAGTGCCATCCTGTTGGTAACAAGGTGGAAGCACCAACACCATTTAACACTAACGATAAATGTGATAAAAATCATCAGCACGCACAAGAAGCGACATTTATATTATATCGTTTCAGGTATCAGCATTTAATCTATTTACTCGCAAATTAAGATTAATGTGAACATAGTTTTGCCATCTGAAAGCCCTCAACTTTCGTCGTTTGTTTAAAAGAACTTGTCAGCCAAGAAATGTGTACTTTGCGCGGTGTTGAAAGATCGTTTTAAAAATTGCTTAGGCATTCTCACACTTTTAAAATTAGAAAACCTTTTTGACCCCTTTTTACAGCTTACTTCCATGCAGTAATATGAAAATAATCCAATATCAGAACCAAGAATGCACAATTCAAAATCCTTTTGTTTCAATAATGTGATGCATGAGCGTGATTCTGCTGGGGTTTTTTTAAGGTAGCGCAGAATATTCCAGTATACTTGTAAGTTAAGAGCTGGTTGAGTGAGAATCGAACTAATTTGATATTATCCAATTCTTCCATTATGACTGTTGAGTGTTGCTAGATTCGTGTTTGTGTCACAATCACACGTGCTGACATTTCGTTAAAAGGTTTAAGACATTCGCCAGGGTCACATGGTATATTTACATTAAACAAGCATGACAAATGGTTTCGATATATTTTCCATTGTCTGCTTATATTCGACACTCGTTTGTAAAAACAAAACAATTCAAGAGCATGCAAACTGTCTGCCAGGTCAAATTGTTGCAATACTGGATAACATCTTCATGCATCGCGCACGAGAGTATTTCACTTTGATCTCGAACCCTGTGCGCGAGACATGACAATTTATCCACTGATCTCGAACTAGAACTGGATTGTGTATCTGCTATGCACAAATGGCTGCGGCATATTTGTGTGACCACCACAAATCCACTTTGGTATCGCTGACATGTTAGAACTGAGGTTCTAATAGTTTCTGCTTATTGTTGGGAAAGGACAAGTATTGTCTAGAGAGAAATTTTTCATCAGTGGCGTCTTAAAATTGCTGCTGAATAACTAATGAGGTCCGAAAACCAACATGGCCTCCACGACTCTCATTAATTAACTAGTGTTTAAAACGTTCTAAAACTTATTAGAAGAGGCGTGGGAAGCTATATCTTCGAGGTTACGTAGAAGACGACGTTTGCTTGGTACTATAACTAATTTAAACACGTAACGAGTTCCTCATAAGAAATATTCTGGCTTCAAAATCAATTCCCTGAATTCAAAATGTTGCTCTATCCACAGTTAATAGAAGTATGCTCTATCCTAGTGCATTGAACGAAACCTGGTTGCTCTTAGATTGTGATTTATGATGGGTTTTCGAATTTCGCTAATTTCAATTGTGAAGATTGAGGGCATGAATGGATTGTTCGCAAATTCTCTTAAACAAAGTACCGCGGTCATAATAAAATGCTGGACTATTGACATCTTTCAATAAGAGGTTTTATTTCAAAAGGTCCTTGAATTAAGTGATTCTTCTTTTTATGAAGTTTTTAATAGAACTAGTGAAAATAACAAACGGTACCCTTGTATGTAGAACGTAATTTTGCAGACATTTTCACAGATTTTAAACGTTTTTTTTTGCCATTCCAGTTTGGATGAGGCTGCGTAGGTGGGTGAAAAGCACTATATCTCATAATCCCTTGGTAAAGAATAGTCAGTCTTCTATTGGTGATTAGCATTTAATAGTTTGCTTGCTCCACCTGACCACCTTAACCACCGTCTGCTTCACAATGCTTACTGAAATCCACCATCATCTCAAGTGGAAGCACTGCTTCGTGTGCCTTCTTCATTGCGGCAAAACGCACCGGCTCCTTTTCCTCAGATAGTTTACATTAGCCCAGCAAAAACAGGAAGATGGTTAATTATAGAAGCTCCCGTGTTTTGATTGCTCCGTCGACTCACGGATGAAATATCTTTTTCAAAACTCATTAATTCCAGAATGGGAAACAAAAGGAAACAAACACCGTATATTAAATTGTCCTATGCCAGACGACAATTCAATTTAAAAAGCATAAAAGCAAATGTGAAGCGAATGAGTAAACATCCATTTCCTGACGAACAATCTGCAGGGCTTAAACAGTTTATTTAGATGCACATTATATTGATTTTATTTTTGGCTGTGTCTAATTGAGTTTTTCGAGCGAATTATTCGTTTCATGACAGGGTCTTTGTTTGTAGGTTTGGGGGGTATGAACCCATTTCTGATTTCCCCAGCCACAATTTTGCCTAGTTTTCTATCGCGTTGTTTTGCAAAATCTAGCACGTCGAATACATTTTCCCAGTGGAAAGACAGGCAAATCGCAGCCGCAAGACATATCTAACTCCTTCGGGACGCTCCTTATAACAGCATAACGATAAATAAAACTAACTCTTGCTTTTTCGGAAATCACGCCACGGTCAGCGCCAAGTGGTGTCATCAAAGAGTGAAAAAAATATAGACAAACGAGCGTCGAAAGTACGAGAAATGAAACATTGAAATGCCATTTCCTGCATTTTTGGTTGAGATAGTCTTACAAAATTCTGACCGCCGCGCATGATTTTTCGCAAATTATTTGTCTGGCCGCGTATTTCAGAAACTCAACGGCTTCATTTAACTTGTACTATACAAAAACTTGGTTTGTACCCTAGAATTTGTCTTATGTGATGGTGGACGTTTATTTATTCAAAGCTTTTGATCCGCAAACCCGGGCCGCCAGTGCAAATCATATAACTAAGTTAAAATTTCATTTCAATTCAAATATCACGCCACTATTAGCATGAAAGGACGTGTGAATGGAAATCTTGTTTTACACAATTTACAGTGATTAAGTTCCGCGGTTAAAGAACAAAAGGATTGTGAAATAAATGATTGTGTTGCTTTCCACAAATCAATTAGTTTTTCCTGAGCGGTCTATATTCAGTAATTTCATTGCATTGGAAACGAAAATTAGGCAGCTCTAAATATAGATTTATTACCTTAAATTTGTAAAAATACTTTTCATTTGCTGGAACATTATATTGTGTTCAAAATACTATCCAAGAAACTTAAAAAAGCACAAATTTGCGAAAAGTAAACACAGTGAGCCGGCGAGTTGACTTGTCGACAGTATTTATAAAATCTCTAGCCATGTCATTAACCTTGGGTATACCAAAATATTAACCATAATCAAATAATAAATAACCACGATTGTGGTGTCGGGTGAAGCTATTTTAGATGATGCTATTGTAAGTTGCTCCACAGCGGGTAAACTTAAAAACTGCTTGGCCGCAGCAGGAATGGAAGAAGCCGCGACCTTTGGTTTTCTAGTCTAATACTCTGCCAACCGACTTGACCTCGTAGCTCAGTTGGTAGAAGATTGAACTAACAAACCAAAGGTCGCAGGTTCCGTTCGACTCTCGCCGCTGTCAAGCCTGGCTTTTTCAGCTTGCCTGGTGAGGAGCCACTCAGAGTGTATTTTCCCATCTAAAAAACTCCTCCAACATTAGTTAATTGAGTGAGTGATACCCAAAAATATACCCTTATAATATTTACACATGTACCTTAGTATATATATATACATGAACTTGTGGTTAGAGCTCGACAACTGGACTCTGTAGCTCAGTTGGTTACAGCACTGCACAGGAATCGCAGGGCGGCAGGTTCGATTCCTACCAGATGGCATATATAGTTGCATTTTTCGTAACTGTTCTTGGTTAGGTCGAAATAAATGTATAAAAATCTCGAAATTTCCATCTACAAAATCTTTCAGCATAATCGAGTGAGATGGTTCCCAAAAAATTGAAATACCTTTTCGGCTATAGCCTTGTCGTTTACTTTCGGTTTTTAACACAACGCTCAAGCAATGAACAAATTAACGAGGTTAACTAGATTAGTGGAAAAGAGTTGTGGTGAAAACCATAATTTGGCTGGAAATGTAGAAATCATTTTGATTTCCTACGTTAGTTCAAGGTCAAGTGTTGCAAAAGCTGAATTTGGTCGTGGTAAACATGTAAACATTTCCGGAACGTAGATTGCTTTAATAGTTTTGCTGAAAATGAATGTATATGAGCCTAGAGGCATACCACAGACTGAGAGATGACTTATTATACACTTATTACCAGGTTTATTGCCTGCAAATGAGCGAATGTGTTGGGTGACGTGCACTTGTAAATGAACATGAGTGGGAGGAAAAGCTGCCATTTGCCCATTCCTAAAATTGTGGATGTATTGGCACACAATCGACGTGTCTGGCTGTCATCCAACATGAAATTTCCTAAGACATAAAAAGGATTATTTAGCTTGAGATACACAAGATTCGGTTAGCACGTTTCCTCTTTAACCGCTGAGTAAGGTCTGCTACTCTAGTTTGTGTGTAGGGCATGGCTTCGTGTATATAACCTTGTGGTATATACCCTGTAGTTGGAAACTCAATATAGGTAGAATTTGATGGGTTCTCTCCTGTGCTTTGAGTGTTTTTCTCCGCAACTACTGAGCACGAGTATTATGAGTCTGTCACTCGGATGAATTGGGAACCACACCCTGTGTATCGGCCGTTTGAAACAGTTACTTCCAATCACTGACTGAAAGTGCTATTGATTATCAATTATTATATCAGCCTGACAAATTTGACAAACCTGACAGAAGGAGACGAACAATTTTTAATATTTTTGTCCCACTACACAAGTTCGAATAACTCGTTTATGCGGCGTTTTTGCCAACGGTACTGATCACACGAAATTCTTTATAATTTTATGTAGACTTTATTTAGATTTGATACACAATTTTCATTTTTTTGGACTGCGCCCAACAGAAGCTTCTCATATACAAACAGGACAGCGTATTTCTGACAATATTGACAAGCACGTATAGTTTATATATAAACGTTTTGTTAACAATTTTGGTTAGCTTTGTTAATGCTTAAATAAGTTATATATTTGGTTTCGTCTACTGCTGGATTGTTCCGTTTTTGACAACAAGAGTAAAGATTTCGAAAACGTGGCTACTGTTAAACGCCATTATAAGGCCCTCAAGAAAAGAACTGCTGTAATTTTACACTAAAAAAATTGTAAAATTTTTTCAAGTATTTTTTGACTGAGGCCATGATTTATAGATTGTCACGTGTTTCATGCATGCTTCGTTCAGCCAACGAAGAACAAAACATGAAGAAAATGCCTTTCATCAACCAGTCATTTATCAGAAATTTATGACGTTGTTAAATTTTTACTAATTCATGAAAATTCGAAGCTTCTACTATAAATAGAGGAAATTTAATTTATTAATCGTGGGGGTCTTACTGTAGGTGATCTACGATATAAAGCGACTGAACTGTGTGGGAAAAATCGAAACTTGTAATTGACTTTTCGTGCGAATTGAAGGTCCTTCGTTTAGGAGGTCCAGGTACTATATATAGGTTGCCCTATATTTATACGAAGGGGAAAACTCGTCAACCAAAATTTCATGAACCAAAAAACACTCTCTACTTTGTAATATATGTTCTTTGCCTATTCTCGTTTGAAACACCTTGCAAAAAAATTCCGGAAAACGCATCGAAGGGGTCATGCATGTCGTAGCTACTAAGAAGATTACGACATGCGGTTGCACGAAACATTCCTGAAGAGCAGTTTCATTGTTTTTTAACACGAACAGAATTGTGGAACAAAATCTGAGAAAGTCAATGTTCCGAGAAGCTTAGGGACTACCCAAATGGAATGCAGTGTTATCTGATTCCATAGTCTCTATTCTGAACTGTTCTGGAATATTTCGACCACCTGGGAAGAATGTACATCACTACATTCTTCGAAAATTGAAAAATAATTGAAGATTGAAAAAAATCACTAGATTCCTGGCCGGTGTAGCATTTTCTGGTTGATTGATTGCTTGATAAATATTATGTTTGCGATGTTACTCTGAGTGTGCATCCACACCGGGCAAGCTGAAAAGTTTGCCTGACCACGGTGGGAATCGAACCCGCTGGGAAAACTGACAATGTCTGATTTTCTATCAAACAAAATAAGTTTAAGGAATTGCTTTAGAGATCCACGTATAGCCAAAAAAATATCTAGGCTAGATCACAGATAGAAAACTACACGACTGATAGGATTATTACATGCATCAGAAAGCACAAACTTTTCCGCTAAAAACATGTTTCGGTACATTAAGTTGTATTGACATTATGTTCAGTACACAAGGCTACTGTGCATGTGAAGAATATACGACTACCTGGAAATAAGACGACTGGGTTTCTACACCTATTCGAGATATATTCAGCATACAATATTTCTATATTATGCATACATATGTTATTCCACATGGGATACCAGATGATACCAATCAGTTCAAAATATTAGTCAGTATTTTTAGATTTCTACATCTTTAACATCTCTCTCCTTGCCTTCAAATATAAGGTTACCACGCACAATGAAACAAGAATTAATATCATTTGTAACGCTGATAACTATCTGTTGACCATCATGTAGCATTGTAGCTTGAACATGGACGATGATAGGTAGTGGCAAGATATAGCTGTTGCAAAATAGTGTCTGTGTTTATAATAAACCCCCTTATATTCATAACTAAGCCGTTGCTCATGAAATTCCCATCCCAAAGATAGTTGATTTACAGTGCTTGATAATTTTTTGAAAAAATATTTCGGGAAGCTTCTCATATATAAAAAACACGATAATTCTTCACTGTGAAGAGAAACATACATTGTCAATTACGTACTGACGTGTGCATACATATGCAGCTCTCCGGTAATTTTAATTTACTGATCTGAAGAATATTGCATGTGTAGTGAAAGTCCGTACGGAATGTATCTTTCGACATGACGTCAATTTCATATTTATTTGCGGATATGTTAGTATGTTTCCCTGAGGGTGGTCGCACACACATTGCAGAGCTGAAGACTGACGTTTACCCGCTAACCGCAAACAACGAACTTCAAATCGCATTTCAAAATGAGTTCTAACAAGTTTTCGACGGCTATATAAATACTTGTAAGTAGCTAAGTCATACTTCAATTTCACAAATTGCACTAACGTCGAAGAGCCAACAGTAGAGCTCAAAAAACCTCTCACTGGCTGAGCTCTCATCTGATTGGTTAATCGGGTTGATTAAATTAAACGCTTTCTCAGAAAGCTATTCCGGCCCCTTCTTTCGACCCCGTCCATTCCGTTTCGACTCCACATTTTAACTGTATATATGCATTTCTATACCTTTACTGAAATAACTGTTCATCAATAAACTAGTCAGATATTTTGTCAATAAATTATACACTTTTGTTCTTAGAAACTCCTTACAAAAGAAGAATGCAGTTCAAGGAATTGCCACCAATATTCTTAAATGAACAAGTTGGCACATCAGTTACACTGAACTGTCCTGTCAAGCCTTCAGTGGTCAGAATGTACCGCTATCTTCGACGTATAAAGTCTGGCAATGAATTGCAACGGGCTAGACGACAAATGCGCAATGTACTTGGAGTTAGATATAAATGGTATAAAGATGGAGAGCCCATACGACATCATCGTTCAGCGTGGTTTATGAAGTTGCAAGCAGTCCATATAGAGGACGCTGGAAAATACACATGTGAAGTTGCCATGCCAAAACATGGGACAAGTCGAAATTTTGTACTCAAAGTTTTCAGTAAGTGCATTTTACCACTGTGGGCAGAGTTGGGATCTTAATAAAACATAATACGCAAAACATGCAGAAAAATCCCAAAATATCACCGTCCACGAAAACAAAGAAAAATAGGATCCGGAAAACACAAGAACATCGGTGGTTATGACATACTATTACACAAACAAAAACAACAAAAGAACAAAAAAACCCAACTGCAACAACATGGATGACAAAAACAACAACAACAACAACAACAACAACAACAACAACAACAACAACAACAACAACAACAACAACAACAACAACAACAACAACAACAACAACAACAACAACAACAACAACAACAACAACAACAACAACAACAACAACAACAACAATAACAACAACAAGCAACCAGAACGAGGCAGCAACAACAAATATTATAATCAGAACGAACACAAAAAAAGAAAACAGCAACAGAGAAGAAGAACGAGAACAAGTTGTTGAACAGGACGAAAAGGAAGAACGATCGACAATTGGTAAACATCGAACGATCACGTATTTCAACCCAACAATAACAATGACAACATTACCAACGACAACGCCAATAGAAACAACAACAGATACAAACAACAACAGACATGCACAACCGTCAAAAGCGAAAACAAACCATTATGATTGAAAGTGTGATTGAAACCACCACATTTTTTGTGACACCACGAACTGGATGCTTTTAAATTTGATTGTTGAAATTCTTAGTTTTTGATGCTGTTAATAACTTTTTTCTTTTATAACTTTTCTCTATTTAGAGCAATTAAGAAGTGGTCGCCCTATCCTAGACTCTAAATCGAAGAACATTTCCTTGAGAGTTGGAGAAAGTACGACATTAAGATGTATAAGTAGAAACACACGGCACCGCCCACAAGTGAGTTGGTTAAAATGGAACAAACCTAACGAGTTGAACCGATTAGGAAATCTTGAATTCACTCAAAACGACATGAATTTACATACACTATCAAAGCAAGGGAAAGCGTACGAACTAATTGATCCAAAACGTAACGGCGAGGCTTCGTCCGTTCGGGCGAGAATTCAAGGTGGGAAAAAAGTGAAGTCTTACGAGTTTCGACTGACCTTAGACAACGTTCAGGAAGAAGACTCAGGGGTTTATGTGTGTCTTGTAAGGAATAAATATGGGACTGATTATCGCAAGTCTTTTGTTCAAGTCAAATCTATGAAAGGTGAGCTTTTTGGAGGTCAAGATACAGTAACTTTGGTGCACAATAGTTTATGTTAGGTTAGTATTTAATAGGTTAGTATTAGGTTAGTATTAGGTTAGTATTAGGTTAGTATTAGGCTAGTATTAGGTTAGTATTAGGTTAGTATTAGATTAGTATTAGGTTAGTATTACGTTAGTATTACGTTAGTATTACGTTACGATTAGAGTTAAGATTAGGATAACAGTAGGGATAACAGAACGCACGATCGAAACGGGGGCCTGAGGAGAGGGGGGGGGGGGCTGGAGCACCCCAGTCAGTATTTACTCGGGCAGATTCTAGGACTGCCCACCTCTGTATAGTGTATTTCCATGGGGAATGAAAAAATGTCGGGGAAACAAACTGTGGGCCATGTTGACAACTTCTCTGCGACCACTTTGTAAATAACATGACTCTATGTCAGAAATTGTATTCCAATTTCCAAATTCCCCAATTTTATCAGCGTAAATAATATAGTACTGTGATGAAGATCCGGACTGTATGGATTAAAGTTTGTTTCGTGTTGATTCCCATGTTGTTTCCTGGTACATCTCTTCCGGAAAGCGATACTGCCATTGACGACCTCTGTGCTTCCTACGAATACTAAATTAATTATTTTTATTCACACATTTTCAAAGGTTTAGCTCCTTATCCGACCAATGAAAAATTGCGCCGGAGTTTCATGGCCTTCCCGGCATTCTCCACGGCAAGACTGAAGTGTTACGTCACGGGAGATAAGCCGCTGACCTACCAATGGTACAAGAACGGGAAGAAATTTACCCATAGAAGACTGAGCAGAAGAATGAACTCTACTACGTCGACTCTACGGATTCGGAATCTGCTAACCTCGGACTCTGGACTCTACACGTGTAGGGTGTCAAACCCGTATGGCGTGCATGAACATAATATCACATTGAAAATTCTCCGTAAGTGAAATGCAACTACGATATACGTACTATATTGTAGTATTGTATCATTATATAATAATGTAATAACAGAACTGCCAGCAAGCAACTTTCTATTACTGTTAATTATATCGCAAAATGTGTTGCAAAAATAGGTTCTTAAGCGTACATACCCAAACTGCTGAGAATCGAAGCAGAGTTTGTCAGCCATTCCATTGTTAGCGGAAAATAGTAACGTTTCTATAAAGACGAAATACGTTGATAATCAATACGGAATAAGAGAAAAGTCTTAACCAGTCCCCTATGACGTCATAATTGTAAAACGGGAGAAACGCTGTTTTGCAATATATTGCATATTATTTTCTCGGTTTATATTCTCGGTCAAGTAAGCGGACTTCCATTCTTTGGACCGGGACAAAATGCGTACCCCCCCCCCGCCCTGTACCCCACCCTCTCGGGCGGCACTGCCCCTAGTTATAGTATCTAACAGCTTCCTCCTTACTCCTTAGAACGTATACGTTCGGCACCTATTCTTCTAAAGAACTATGCCAAAAACGTCACATCATCGTGGGGCAAGACCGTTATGTTTGAATGCATTGAGTTAATCAGCAACCCAATGCCTGACTACAGATGGTACAGATGGCATTCTGTGCCTGCCACGTATCCAAAATTGGACTTTCGTAATACTTCACAGTTTACAGAAATCGACCCGATTCACTACACTCCCATGCAAGTGAAAGTTGGAAGCAATAATCGATATGGGGGAAAGCTGACGATAAACAACATCACTGAGGATGATGCTGGGCTGTATTCGTGTGTTCTTCGGAATCAATTTGGAATGGATTACGCAAGTGCGTTCTTGCACTGGAAATCCAATGAAGGTAAGAATAAAATGGCTTTGCAATATGTAGCATTCTGACTATGTTTTCGTCTCTGTCGCTCTATATTTTCTCTGGAAAGTTTATAAACGCGACGTTTCCTACATACACAAAACAATTATATATTTATCATGAATTAATTATAGTTTCATCTTAAACATTTCAGGTCCAAAATTTCTCTCGACTGTACATCGCCCTACATTAATCAAAATTCCACAGACCGCACCATTAAGACTGGACTGTGACGCCACAGGTGACCCAAAACCCAATATCATTTGGTCCCGAAATGGTCAACCACTTACAAAAACTCGAGGTATGACTGTATCTAATTATACACTGACGCTGAACGAGTTGTTGCCCCAACACAGCGGGAATTACACTTGTCACGTGAAGAACAAATGGGGATCTATCAATCACACATTTGACGTGGGAATAAAAGGTAAGAAATACTGAATGTATGCTGGTAAAGTTTTGTACAGTAAATTACATATGGCTGTGAACTGGTGGCAACGAGCACAACCTCGTTCGCCTATTATGTCTATTGGGGCATTAAAATAGAATTGGAAACTTCACTTTATATCACGGGACTGTAGGTTTGAAGCAAAGAGTCGAAAGAGAAGAACTGTTTTAATATGTAAAGTAGTAAATGACACTTTATTTGATGATATTTTACATATTTATATATTATGTTAGTTCGTAGTTTGTAAGTTAGTATAGTTTTAACAGTTTTATTAGTCAATACAATAATTTTATTTAAAGCCGTTATATAATTGAATAAATATTGTTAACATTATCATATATGTCTATTTCGTGTGCGCGTTATTAAATTAAAAAAGCTCTAAACATACTTTTTAAGTTTGTTTGCCGTTATACTCATTATAGTTTTTGAGCACATAAAGTGATCTTATTTCCAACAAATTAGGTAAACTAAGTTCATTTGTACTGGGCAGCTCTATATCAGTTCGATCTTAGACGTTCTTTCTAGAGGCCTAATAAGGTATATGATATTGTTACTGCCAGAGAAAAATGGAGCAACTGGAGAAAATAAGATGTGATTTCTCTGTATTGGTGTAATTGTACTCAGGTGAATATGATGCTTGTGATGTTACTCTGAGTGCTAGAATTCCAAAGGTCGTAGGTTCGATTCCAACCGTGGCCAGGCATATTTTTCAAGCTTGCCCGGTGTGGATATACACTCAGAGTAACATCACAAGCATCATGCATAAGCTGTGATGTTTAGCAGAGTCAATCTGGAAGCACTCTTCGCGCATGCTACTGAGACAAACTTACAATGAAAAAGTGCATATTGCAGCAATGGAACACGAGGGGAAGAGCTTAAAGGCACATAGATTGCTGGGTTGAAGTCTAAGAAATTGATAGCTTAATTAGTAAAGCATCAGTGCTGTGTGTTGGTTCTATGGAAGAATTCTTGGCGATTCGGTAGCGGGCTAAGAGTAATCTTATTCTATATTAATAGAGTGGCTATTTACACGTCCTATTATACTCCCAATGGAAACGAAAGTTCTGAAGTCGGGTGGGGAATACGAACTGAAATGCACTATAGTATCCAGTGGTCCGCTCACTCCGAGTATGATAAAAAACCTGGGAACGAACCTCGAAGGATCCGAATCCCTTACGAGCAAAGCAAAACTGGTTAAACTTGACAAACATGTTTATGAATATATCTACGTCATCCAAAATGCGACAAATAAAGACAGCGGCAATTACTCGTGTGTTGCAAGGAATGCAATTGGAGAATCCCAAAGGAAATTCCAAATTAAAGTGGAAGCATAAAGTTATGACGTCATCCTACAAAGACTAGAGCGAACTCCCGTGTGTACTGTATTTTGGGTAATTGCATGCATCGCAACATATTTTAAAACATCTCCGTACTTCATAAAAGAAAAATATGAAGAATCGAAACCAGCGGACCAAAGAACTGAGATTGAGTTTGCCGTGAACAAACTGTACAAAAACTTTAATCTACGAACACATATGTACATGAATATTACTTGAATTTATGTTTAGATCAAATCACGAATTACCAAAAATTTGTTTTAATATTTATGATAGTGCAAGGCATAAATACGAACATTAAATTGAATATGAACTACTACTAATATTTAGAATAAACGAGAAGACCCGAATGCTACTCATGTTTGCCAGAATCAGCGCGCAAAGTCGAAGTGATTAGCAAAGTATATTGGTATCAGTTGGCAGATCTTTTCTGACTTTTCAATTATTGCTTTCATACTCTTTTCATTCTTTTCGGCCTTGAAATTTCAGGCATTTCCCATTTAAGAGACCGTTAGTCAATAAGGAGTTTAAGTAGGATTGAAAACAGTGTCTGCATTAGAGAATTATGCATGTAGGGACATTGGAGACTATCTGTAATACAGGGTGACCTAAAAAATACAATTGCTGCTTTCAGATTTCTATACAGCTAATTATTACTGGGAATCGAAAATTCTAAAGGTGAATTTTGATACTAAGATTAGTAGAGCCAATGTTGCGGCTGTTTCAAAATGATGTCTGGTTCACTCAATGGTCCATTGAAATTTGAACTTTTACAAGAAATACACAACTACAATACGCGAACTATAAGGACAATTTAAGGCCACTAAAGTGTCAGTCGAGGAATTGGAAAAAGCAAAGACTCGCTTATCAGACCATACTGGAACAACTTGGACAGAAAGATAAAACTCTCTAGTAGTATTTCTACATTTAGGAGATACTTTTTTAGCAATCTTTGAACTTCCTCGTATAATTTTTAAATATTTCTCATAGTTATACAAGTAGTATATGCATGTCCTTTAGTTCAGGACCTTTAACAACATTGGTTCTACTAGACCAATTTAATAATCTTAGTGTCAAAATGCATCTCTGATTTGCGCGTTGATTCTGGCAATATGAAAATAATTAAACGGGATTTTTATTACTGCTCGGTGGTTAAATTATACAGGTTTTATTACATGTATAATATTCGTGGAAAATACGTCAAGAAAGTGAATTTATTGACATTCATTTACTCAGTAAACTAGTATACCAAATCTGTCTCAGAACAATATTGTACAAATAGTTATATTAACTGTAATCCCTTAGCATACAAATCATATCATATATAGTTTAGTTGTTTTAACACGAGTATTTATGTGGAAAAGTAATATTTAAGCAAGAAATTTTCTGCGAAGTTTATTTAGTCTTGTTGCCTGTTGGGTTTTAGTTATCATTTAAGTTTAAACAGCATTGAAAGTAAAAATTAGCTATATATATCTTAGTCTCGTTTGTGGGAACGTTTTATAAAACATGAGAAACCAAAGTGGATGGCATATGCCCCTACTGGTGTCAAGTAGACGCAAAAACGCTTGTCTGCAATATGCGCCAAACACAGAGCGCGTGACATTTGTTAAGTTATGCACATGCACGAGACCCTATATTTTGGGGCTGTTATAGATCAATGCAGGGCTGGTTCTGATAAATGCCGGGCTGATTGAAGGCATTCCTTTAATATATTTAGCTAGTTGGGGGAGGATGTGTGGGGTGTGGTGAAATTAAGGGGTGACTTAAATTCCGCCTGCGGAGGTCAGCGAATATGTTGCCCATTTTACCATTGTTATATCATTGTTCTATTATACTATACTTAAGGTAATTTAAAACAACGGTATACCTCGAATGAGACATGGTTAATTTTTACTTTCAATGACCTACGAAGTAAAGTTGAAGGTATTTTCCAGTTAATTAAACGTTTTCATACGTACGTACAGGCAAGGAAAAGTTTACACGTTAAATCATTCACAAAACTAAATTCTGTCCTTTTAATGTAAAAATTCATTTAGTTATTCCGTAAGTAACATTTAAATTGATTTAATTAAACTTTTTCATTGGTATGTACGTCCGTTTTAGGAATGCTTTACTGGAATGCAGCCCTTACTTAATATGCTGGGTCCCCCCCCCCAAAAAAAAGTGACACTACAGAAATTATCCTATTGTTAATTTGAATGCCTGAGCACTATGCTGAGCACAAGAGTGCGTAAACACATTTGAATTGAATTTTTAATTACCAGGCGCATGAAATCCTGTGCTTAACAAATAGTGTCACTTTTTTGGGGGACACCCTGTACAAGTCTGTACCTCTGAGTTCGTACAAGAACATGTCCCCTGTAATCACCGTGTGAAAGTGTATATGTAAATATGTAATTGATTTTGGAATGAAACATTGCAACTTTTAAAGTAAATTTTACTTAGAGATAGTATAGAAAAAAATGTATTAAATTCTTGCATAATTTATTGCAATGCACATTTATTTCATAAAAATGTATGCCTTTCTTGATCTCATTTATACCAAGACGGTGTTTAACAATATCACAGTTAATAGAGGAGATGGTTTGGAAACTTATTAGCATTACAATAAACCTCACTATCTATGTTTTTGTTCAGGTTTATGCAAAAATGTGGTCTTTCATCGTCACGTGCGTATTGTATTTTTGCACAACCAGCCAATAGCAACGGTTTTGTCCTATTGCCCATCCATGACTTTAACAATAGGACATTTCGAACATTCCTATTGGTTGACTTGAGAAAAATACAATACGCACGTGACGATGAAAGACCACATTTTTGCATAAACCTGAACAACATAGATAATGAAATTTATTGTGATTTTATTGTAATGCTAACGAGTTTCCAAACCATCTCCTGTATTAACTATGACAATATGCAAGGTGAAGTATAGCCATTGAAGGTCGCAGCCGAAGGTCAGTGATTGATCAGATTGACAAACGAGAACAAGAGTTGCATGAGGCCCCATGAGAGGCGAAGAGAATAATTAGCTACATTACTCTACAATAAACTTTGTCTCCCCCTCCCCCCCCCCAGTTCAATGTTGTAAACAACGCCGAAACAACTTTTGGTAATATATACCATGACCCAAGCTCAACATTGTCATTGAGTTGGAAGAGCGGGGGCTTTAGAAAGTAGAGCAACATGATTCAACATGGAGTTTATCATAAAAGCATGCGAATTTTGTATAGGGGAAAAATAGCCTGAACCAGTTATGTCCAAGATTGTATAGATACTGACTTGTCAAACGAGCAAAAACTCATCAACTCTCATTAAAATTTGAAACAGCTCAAATTTGATGAGAGCTGATGGTATATAATGAGAGATGGTGGTCATAGCGAGCCGCAGGAGCAACTGGGATTTTACTTTGTATACTTTAATGGTTAAATACAGTGCCATGAGTAAATATTAAACATATAACTAGTCCAGGTCTACTTTTGTCTTTGAGCATATAACAAATCATAGCATTTACCTTTGTCTTGCCATTTCCTCGTAATACCCAAACGTTCTGCATTCCATGGAAGCACGAGGCAAACGAACCCGATATTCCAAGGCACATTTTATCCGCTTCAACTTCGATAAACAACCAGGCAACATCGAATCATTTACAATGACTTTAAGCAAATGACCAAGTACGAAAGATTCTGAAATACTTGTGTTTTAAAAGCTAGAAAGGCGATCACTTTTTGCCTTTCTTATCCATGCTCGACAAATATATATCCTGGCGGAATGCAAATTACGATCAGACAAAATTGACTATCACTTCATGTTTATTCCCAGTGGACCACTTCACAAATGCTGTCAAATTAAAATCTCCATACAGCCTTTGTGTTGAAGTCTCGTGGGATTGCTTCACACCCACTTATGCCGAGTTAGGGGCTGTTTATGAGTCGGGCTGACCCAGTTCAAAGTTGAACTAGGTTAGTTTGATTCCAGTAACAGTATAAAGTTACCTTAAAACGATTTTTTATGGACAGGAAAAAAATTTCATAGTCACGAATTTTTGCAGGGGACATTTGAAGCTCTAGATTAAGAAAAAATCTTCATTTCAAGACAAGAACTGCCCACTTTACATTTAAAACTGTTTTGGAAAATGGGAGGGTTTGGAGCGATCCTCTTCACAACAAGAGCTCACCAAACTACTGTAGTAACTTTGACCAAACTTACATTATAACACAAAACAACACAAAACTCTAACTACGTTGAATATATTGTTACATATTGAATATAACACTGAAATATTAACCCATATGTACAGGGTGTCCCCCAAAAAAGTGACACTATAGAAATTATCCTATTGTTATAATTTGAATGCCCTAGCATTAAGTTGATCCCATAGGTGCATAAACTTCTGCTTCTGGAATTTAAAATGAAAAAAGCAAACCGTTTATTAGTGTAATCGTTTTGCTTGACTCGGGCGTTAAAATATTTGGACAAAGCGAAAACGTTTTAAAATGCTTAAATGTCAATAGAAGTTCAGTAAATTCCCAGGCGTGTAATGCACGTGCGTTTAAGAGCGGCTTAAGAACAGTGAGATAATTTCTATAGTGTCACTTTTTTTGGGGACACCCTGTATACATATTTATATACATGTAAAATAATTGTCCCCATAATTTGTTTGAATTTTAAAATGATTCATATTTACAGTATGCGATCGAATAATTAACGAATAACTATATATTTGGTGAAAAATGTAAGAGTGTACAGTGTATATATGTGTTTAACTCTAGCTCGAGCGTATATAATCGGCCAGATGATTTGAGTAAAAGTTCAAACTGTAGCAGGCGGCTAAAATCTTAGTCCGTCCGGCTGAAAATCCCCCATTTGATCCGTAGCAGATGCAAGAAGAGAGCTTACAGTAACTACATTTGTCAGTTATCATGAATGTAACGATTGTGGTATTTAACTCAGCTGGAGCTATATTTAAGATCACTGCAAAACATTTTGAATCGAAAACTTGAGTGAAATAATGCACTTACTCAAATTTATGAACAATTTTACTCATCTTTTGCTCAAAAAAATTGAGTCACTGTACGTGCATTATTGTACTCAGATTTTTGCAGTGATGACGCTCACTGAGTGCGTCCATAGCGGGCAAGCTGGACATTTTGTTTGAATCTGGTAACTTCAGGGAGTTCATTTAACTCCAGTGGAATTAAATGAGGTTCATAATAACTGCACATGAGTTAAATGAACTCCGACCCTGAAATTAATCGAACCCGCGACCTTTATGCTCTACCAACTGAGCTACGAAGTCAAGTCGGTATTTTGATATCAGTGTATACTGATATCGGAAAACTAAACGTTCTGAAATATCACGCACTCGAACCGACTTGACCTTGGAGGAGCATTGGGCAGGCAAACGAAGGGCCGCAGGTTCGATCCCCACCGCGGTGAAGCCAACATTTCAGCTTGCCTGCCGTGGCAACCCTCAAAGAGAAAAAGATAGTATAATTTTCTTGCTCCCATAAATGCCAATATACATTTGAAGTTGAGCACCAAGTGTAACACCGTAGAAAAAACGTTTTGCAAACCTCGATTGTGAAGGACTGGAGGTATTCATTAATTTCCTTCGCCAGCAGCGCTTTGTCGTCTCTGTTCGTCACTGCCCGAGGAATCTTCATCTTCTTCATCGAGATCAAATGCCAGCGCGATCTTGGGTTCATGATCATCATCTTCCACAACGAAACTCTCCCACTGATACTGCATGCTGGGTGGGTCCATGTGTTCGCATCGTTGCTCTGAGTGATCAACTGTTGACTCGTGCGGCATCTGGAGAAAATATCGATATTGATATAATATTATCTGCATGTATGAAGTAAACTAACATAATCTATCTTGGTTAAATTGTTGATGTAACCTAAAACTTAGCCTGCTCGCAGGCTATCTTAGAGTCAGTGGCTAGAGTCTATGATATCGGCGGTAATGGTGTACAGGTACGGAAAAACGAATAAGCAGTTATAATTACATTTAGTAGCTAACCGACCCTCCCCCCCCCCTCGGCGCTATGAATGGTAGATCAACGGGCCCTTTTCAGTTCAAGCTGGGGGCTCATACTGTAACACAAAGAGAGTTCCAGTAAGGGGTTCAATTTGCTCACCCTGTAGTTCCGTACGCTCCACTGTAGGCCAAAGCAAGGCTCGGGGCAAAGGCAAAGAAAGGCTCAGGCTGAAGGCACCAATGCTCAGGCTGAACAGAAAGCAAGGCTCAGGCCAAAGCAAGGCTCAGGCTAAGGCTCGTAGTGTAAATACGGCTTAAGAAACACTGTTGGGGAAACTTTGTTTCATACCTATGTCTTCTAGATCAGGTGGAAAGGCTTATAAAACATTTGTCAGAAACATTTGGCCTGGGTAAGTTTGAACCTAATCTATACAGGTTAAACTTACAATTTATTTGAGTTACCAATCGAACTAGGGTTACTGTATAAAGATATACACAACTCACCAACTGCGCAGGAGATCGAAACAGGTATGTGAAAGGATAGTAAAGTAAATTCATAGGAGATGCCGCATACACATCAGCATAACGAGTAGCTTGGCTCGCGAAAAATGTTTGACGAGAACCTAAAACAGAAGAATACGTTTGGAATCTGTCTTTGGAGCAACATCTCTCCCATTGAAATAAATACCAGCCATCTAATTACACGTACTTACCACTTCGGAACAGACTTCCCAACTTGCCATAGCACATTTCCATATGGTGGGTAGTTTCCTAAGAAAACGAACATATCAGACATGTTTTCACTCTGGGGTCAATAAACGAATGCAATCCTCAACAAATTACGATTCAATGTTTCGACACCATGTTCAAAATGTGCAAACATCATGTGAAGGTAACGGAACTTTCTAACGTCATCGTTCAGAGTGGAGTTTGTTGGTTGACCGAGTCAAATCCGAGCCCGAGTCAAATGTCCGAGTCACTGTTTAGCGGTTTTTGTAGTTCAATGACTTAGTACCCTGACCCTACTCCTAACCCTATTCGATTGTAAATTTTATTCAATTTCGTCTTTTTTTACGTGACTTGGACATTTGACTCGGAATTGATTCAGACTCGGATTTGACTTGGTAAATGGATTTACTCGTTCCGAATGACAAAGAGAACATGTCTGGATGAAAAATTACAAAAAAGCAACATGGGACTGACCTTGATTGATTTCTTGATGTTATCTACATCAGGATCATGAGTACTGTACGCATCCAGATTGCTAGAGCAAAAAGATGGAGAACTCTTTGGTTTCCTTTCCCAAGAAAAGTTTAAGGAATGGCTTAGGACAGCAACTACAAGGGGTATTACTACACATCCTAACTTGACAGACTGTGTGGAATAACGGCATATACTGTAAGAAATAGTTTTTAGAACATTACCGGTATGCTTCGGCCATTTCAACGTCCAGTTCTTTCAGCCCCGAAAACAAATCTAAAAGAGAAATTATGAAGAACAAAATTATTCACAAGAATTTGAAGATATCTAAATTTCGTTTTGCATAAAATTTACCTTGTCTGGCCGTCCAAATGTCCAATTCTTTCGAAAGCTCTGGCACAACAAGATACGTCCTTAAAAACAAGAACATCAAAACAAAAATAAAAATTGCAGCATTGAATATTTAAGATTGAGTCAAGACAAGAGAGAACAAGATAATCTATTTAGTCCAGTAAGTCAGTAACCCCAAATATAATTTTTGGTATAAGTAATATCTTGGTCATTCTAAGATACATGCATATAAAAGCTGATTACACCACACAACTTTTGCCTGTACAACTTGAGTTGTACTGTGTAAATCAAGGACAACGTAAGCGAGTCGTGTGCTTGATTTACACAGTACAACTCAAGTTGTAAGCAGGTAAAAGTTATGTATTGTAAGTCGGCCTTAATACTGTTACATTTATCTCCTCATGTTGATCAAGCTTCTCACTATCAAAGTTTTCAGATTTTTGGAAAACTAATTTGCAATTCATGTAACTGCATCACATCCGGTAACGTCTATAGTGAAATACTGTACAGGGATCAACAAAACTTTAAATATTGTAGAAGAAACTATAACTGTATGTATGTATGTATGTATGTTTGTTGTTGTTGTTGTTGTTGTTGTTGTTGTTGTTGTTGTTGTTGTTGTTGTTGTTGTTGTTGCCGTGTCATCTTACCTCCACCCACTAGTTTTCTTTGATTTAAGAATATCTCCAAAAATATGATCACCAACATAAAGAATGTCCTGAAATAAAGAAATTTTCGAATTAAACATGTTCCTGTTGTAATCGTATGTATTATTATTATTATTATTATTATTATTATTATTATTATTATTATTATTATTATTATTCAAGTATTATGTTTATACTGTGTTTGTAGAAACCGATAACCACCTTTCCATCCGCTCCGATCAGCTGACAGAAAACTTCTGATGATCCTAAAAGTGAAAAGATACATTTTTGGGAAACAACAAATGAACAAAATAAATTCAACAACAATATGAAGAATTTTTTCAGTTTAAATATCGGAAAATTTTTGGATGGAGGGGAAAAGAAAGACAAAACGAATGAATGAAATAGACATGATGAAAAAAGAAACAAACAACAAGTCTAAAAACTTAAACAATGTATTGTATAGTACTAAATAAATTGGTGTTCTGTCATAATGGTCACAGAAAGAAATATTTTTTCCAGGCCTGACAATATGATCTAAATGAGTGGACATACAGTACCTCCAGAATAAATCTGTTCCTTCATTAGTGCACCAGCATAAGAACCAATCTTCAGCGTGCCTGTAGCCTGTAATCGAAAATGTTATTTAACACCAACCTTACAATACGATTCGGACAATATGTTGGACCAACTTGTTACAAATCTGACGACATTTGTTGCAAGATGAGAACAGCATGTTCCAACATATAACAAATGCTGTCTTGATGGCGGACTTGTTACAAATAGGTGGACAGTTTTTCAGTATCGTATACACGGCACAATATACTGCGAGTGGAAATTAATTACTACAGTAAATACAATCAAATCACAAGTACTAGTCTAGGCTAGCTGATAGTTATATATTCTAATTGTACCTTGTCAACTTCTCTGATCAGAGTTCCTTAAAAAGAAAATAATCTTAAATTTGCGTCCTTTTAGACTTAGCAATGCAGTTCATAAGGCGAAGGTTGTCCGTGAAACTAACCTTTTCCAAAGAAAAGAGGTTTCTTCGCGTCAACAACGACATAGTCAAAGTACGTCTTCCAGTTTCGATGTGGCGTGTTTGGCTGTTAAAATACATATAAAATACATATAATACTATTGTAATCGTATAGCTCTATCTGTTCTAAAAATGCTCCATGAATATGTAGAAGTCCTATAAATGTGCAGTAAAGGCCATTCCTTATTTATTCAGTTTTACAACAGGAGAATCAAGGTGAACAGTGTTCGAACTCATGCTGCACATTACCTCTGGTCCATGTGGAAAATCAAAGAGATACGTCATGATTTGCTAAAGGAGAATAATCATATATGCTAAGAACTGAATGGTTACAAACCCAACAACAACAACAACAACAACAACAACAACAACAACAACAGCAACAACAACAACAACAACAACAATCAAGGCTTTTCGAAGCTAAAACACAAGCTATTGAAGGTAGTTGGTCCAATGAACAATTTTTACCTCTGTATAATTGTAATCACTATTCGTCAGGACAAACGTTTTACGATTGTGTTCCTTCATTCTGGAGAAAGAAAACATCTCCCTTTAATGCATTACACAACTCACTTACTTACAGTACTTACTTATATAATTAAAATAAAATAAATATACCTGTGTAGCAACTTGGGCAACCTTGGCTAAAAAACAAAATTGAAATTAACATTAAATGACTCTGAAGTCTGCCCATACGTACAGCTTGTAACAAACCAGTGGTACAATGGATATTGAAAAGACTTTCAATGTCCTTGTTTCGAGCACACCCCATTAAAAATTTTGTGAGCTGCGTGTTTTTTGGTATATATGCATGGAAACGAATATTATCACTTGTGTCTTCTGAATTATATAAAAGAAATCTGATGATACTTACATCTTTAATAACATATTTGTCAATATTTTTCAACGTTTCATTTTTTAGCCCTTCCTAAATAAAGTATGAATACATAAAATTACAATTCTCCTTTTCAAAAAGATCTACAATCACAGTATGGAGAGGTTCAGATTTGACTTCCACTACTAATCACATACGTTTGATCTATCCGATTAACCAACGGCAGTCAGAAATCAAGTGATCGAGAAAGGCCTCATTGTTCTCTCAGACCATAACATTTTTGATGAATTTAATCTGAACAAGTTGTGGCTGAGTCAACTCAGTCAATGACTGAGTCATTTACGATATCAGCAAGTTGAGTCGATTCGAGTACGAGTTAATGACTCGACTCGTTACAACACCGTAATGCGCATAAAAATGGTAATTAATGTCTACATACACAATCGTGTAGGTAATCCATGGCAGCCCTGACATCTTGATGCATACTTCGATAGGACAGTACAACCGGGTCACATTTCACACCTGTATTGATCCTAGGAACAAAACGTTACTCGCTATCAACATTCCGCACAGCAGGACTGAACAGCCGTTAACACAACAATAATTAGTAGCAATAAAAGTTAAAGCCATGTTACTTTGCTGCAACTTGCAATGCAATTTCGGATACAGGCCCATGTTATCTAAAAAGTGTAGTCACAGGGAAATCATGTCATTATGAGTATGACCAGCAGTCCACTCTGCCGACACTTGAAAAATGAAAGAAATGGGATGCAAAGTGTCGGAAGAAATTGCGTTGCAAGTTGCACCACAAAAATTTCCTCGTGTAACACGCCTTGCAAGGAAATTACCTTTTATAATGTTCACTATGATCAAAATGATTGACTAGACACGCGATAAGATAAACCTCTAAATCAGAAAACACAAGGGACTGGTCATTTATAGCCGGGGTGGGGACTGAAAAAACTTTGAATTTCTAATACTTCGCATCACCTTGATCTTACTTACCTGGCAAGTTGTATATTGAATTCAATATGAAATATCGATCACTGTCCGGCTAAAATGTGAAAAAAAATCATCACGAGAAGGCAATAAAGAACAGGCGACTGAAATCCCACCTAGCGCGAGATGTGATATCAAGGGCTGGCTCTCTCATATTAACACAACATGAATGATTTTTATAACCATTAATAAAGACATGCGGATCTCACTAAAGCAAGTTTTCCGGTAAGTTGGGCTCATATGAACATGCCCTTGGAGGAATGACAATTATCACTTATTTACTGAGACCGAGGGAAACAGTGTGTTTTGTGGACCCGAGACCGTCGATGTTTGACCTAATTGTTTCATTGTTGACCGGTTGCCCCCTCACCAAAGCATGCAGTGAACGTGACGTTTTGTGGACGAGCACGTGATACGGTTTTGTCCAATGAGTAAGCAGGAAAATAGCACTTTGACACTTGCTAAATAATAAAGCCGTATATTAAAGATTATTATAGCAATAAAAGTGGTAAATCTTACATCGACAAATTTATTCTGATAAACTTTCCTAATATACGAGCTGAAAAGAAGATGGGAAAATAATATCACATGAGTCTAGGTAAAATCAACTGATCTATATGAAATGTGGCAGAAACGAGATTTGAATTAGCCATTCCGAAGTTGATGAGTGGACTGGGGACGAGTGTTAAAAAGTGCCCAAATTAAGAAATGAACCTAATCACTAAAAAGACCACCTCAAAATTAGTAAGTATACAAAGTTTGAAGATGTTTAGATGAATATCCTTCGAATAATAAGCTTTCGAAAATCGTGATATTTACTATGAAATGTATTGTAATTTTTGTTTTTGGGACGCGCGTCCCAAAAACAATCTTTTAATCAGTAATTTCACGATATTTGAAAGCTTATTATTCGAAGGGTATTCATGTAAACGTCTTCAAACTTTGTATACTTACTAACTTTGAGGTGGTCTTTTTAGTGATTTGGTTCATTTCTTAATTTGGGCACTTTTTAACACTCGTCCCCAGTCCACTCATCAACTTCGGAATGGCTAAATGGGTCCAACGTCTTTCAAGTACAGTATTCCTGTACTTACCTTGGACAGAAGTCAAAACCATGAACACAGATAAGAATATTTCCATAAGTGTCAACCTAAAATAATCAAAGTGATGATCAAGATGTACTGTAACAGATCCATGTATAATTAGAGCGTGATCCATGTATTATTTAAAAACTAAATCACAACAGATGCTATCACTGCACACCGACTAAAATTAGGTATATGAAGCAGACATATGATTAGGTACTGTACAAATACGGTTTTAACTTTTAGATAATACTTATTACTTACCTTCAGCAAATTGCCAAGCTCAGTGTCAAACAAAAGACCCCTAAAGTGAATTAAAGTAACTAAAGTAAAGGTTACAATCTACTTGAATCTAGCCAAAGACTTCGACATGCGGGGGAAAAACTCTCCAACCTAATATTCGGGCAAAGTACTGTATACAAATTAATGGGAAGACAGAGAAGCAAATTGTGTTTTTCTTGTTTGTTTGTTTGTTTGTTTGTTTGTTTGTTTGTTTGTTTGTTTGTTTGTTTGTTTGTTTGTTTGTTTGTTTGTTTGTTTGTTTGTTTGTTTGTTTGTTTGTTTGTTTGTTTGTTTGTTTGTGGTCACATTTTTGGTAGGGGAAACTATTGCCAGGAAATTTGGAAAAACTATCCTGCACACAGTTCATGTACTAAGTAGTAACGTCACACCGAAGATTCGTGGGAAACGTTAGGGTTAGGGAAAATGGGACAGTGTTAGGGATGGACAGGGTCAGGGATGGGGTTAGGGACAGAGTTAGGTTCATAAGCTTGGAGTGACGTCACTACATCAACTGAGTGAACGATAAGCTCTCGCTATGAAAATCGTGTGGACGTTTTGTGGGAATAATCCATATCTATATTGTGACATGTACAGTAACTGGCTTCATCGAGTCGGCATCGACATAGAGTAAACCAAAAACATTGCTTTACATACCTTACAGGGAATGATGGATCATAGTTTAGCTCTGCAAGCTCCTAAAAGGGAACAGAAGAATTCTGTAAGACTCAAACTATTTGGTTATTTCATTAGGAAGGAATCCATCTCATATTAATATAAGAAGGAATTCATGTCAATTTATGATTTCATGTCGTAAAACACTGCAGTTTACGAATCACTGAAAATCAATGAAGAGAAGGCATTTGTATACAGAACAATATGTTGTACGTTCTAACACTTAAGCCAATTTTCCATTTCAACCGCACCGTACCGAAACGTACTGGTGAGCATGCGTAGATTGAAAATAGGTTAATCAATCTACGTACTTCCGGGTGTATTCGCGTATCAAAATGAAAAGTTCGTCGCAAGTCAACTTTTTGGCGTACTACGGAAGTACAGTCGAACCACTATTAAGCGGCCCTGCATTAAGCGGCCACCCTCTATTAAACGGCCACATATCGAAGTCCCGAAATTTTTGTAATACAAATACTATAAACTATCCCTCTATTAAACGGCCACCTCT